TTTTTTTTTATAGACTATACAAGCACAAATGTTTTTTGGTGCTACTGGGCAAGGAAAAAAAAGCTTCAACCATACCCATTGTTGGGAGGTGGTGAAGAATTGTAAGAAATTCCAAATTATTCCAACGGATCCGACGGTAGTCTTGAACGAGACGCCACTCCATGAGACATCGGCATCGGATTCACCTATGGATTCCCCGATGAGTCAAGACTCACCTATCGAAAAGGAGCCGAGGCCTATTGGGAGGAAGACGGCGAAGGGGAAGACATGGAGTAATTCTACCAAGTCATCATCTAAATTTTTGGAGGAACTTTCAAGGATGAAAGCCATGAGAATTGAAATGGACATGAAACAACAAGAGCACGATAGGGCAATTGATGTAGAAAATGCAAAAGAAAGGGAGTATGTACGCCAACAAAGGGAGTATGCATGCCAAGAAAGGGAGTATGCACGGCAAGAAAAGATTGAAAATAAGGATCGGGAAACAATGGCCATGGATAAAACCCATATGTCCCCTGAAGCAAAACAATATTGGAAGCTAGAACGAAGGGATGTTATGAGACGAAGACTTTTTCGTGACGATGGACCTAGCAACACGGATTGGTTAAATGATCAAAACAATTAAGTTAGTTTGCTTGCCTTTCATTTCATTGTAATTTTTTTTTATTTAAAAAATTAGTGGTAATTCATGTATTTTATTTTATGAGTTGTATTGATTTTCTTGTAGTGAATGAAGAAAATATTCAACAAAATTCCTTTTTATTCAAAACATTCCATACATAAAAAGCAAACCACAACCAAAGCATAAAAAATAAACAAACCACAACAAAAGCATGAAAAAAACAACAAAGCATACCTAAAAATACAACATAAACATAATGCACTAAAATAACATCTTCACTTGACTTCATTGACCTTCATTGCCTTTCACCGCCCACAAATGCTCCATAAAATCAACTTGACGGTGTTCATGAATATACGACGATTGCATCTCCGTGTAGCGCTCAATCATACGATGCATGAAAGTACCGTCTCTAACTAACGGCTCATGCTGCACTGGTTCTCCATTTGACCCCATAGGTTTTTCATAAATTCGTGTTAAGGTCGTGTACATGCACTAAAATAACATCTTCACTTGACTTCATTGACCTTCATTGCCTTTCACCGCCCACAAATGCTCCATAAAATCAACTTGACGGTGTTCATGAATATACGACGATTGCATCTCCGTGTAGCGCTCAATCATACGATGCATGAAAGTACCGTCTCTAACTAACGGCTCATGCTGCACTGGTTCTCCATTTGACCCCATAGGTTTTTCATAAATTCGTGTTAAGGTCGTGTACATGGGATCTGGTTCATACACTTCATCAACATCATAATCATACTCATCTTCCACAATCATGTTGTGGAGGATGATACAAGTCATCATTATACTTCTGAGCACCTCCGAGTCAAATAGACGCGCCGCGCCCCTGATAATAGCCCACCGAGCTTGAAGGATACCAAAGCACCTCTTCACATCTTTTCTGTACCCCTCTTGATAGGCAGCAAAAAAATTTTCCTTCTCGGATCGGGGATGTGGAATTGATTTCACAAATGTTGTCCATCTCGGGTAGATACCATCAGCTAGATAATACCCGTTCTGATATACGGTACTATTGACTTGATATGTGATATTTGGGCATTCACCTCTCAAA